GCAGGTCCAATCCCCCCATTCAGGACACATACAAGAAGCAACCAATGAATGCATCAATAAGTGGAACAATAATAATTAATGTTTCTCTCTTTCCCTCTCGATCCCCCCTCTTCTCTCTCTCTCTAAAATCAATAAATAAAAAAAGAAAATGTCCCAGGATGCCTTCATGAAGCCCTATAGTATTGACTGTGTGGGCCTGGTAAGGGCCCATAAGTGAAGAAGGAAAGAGCAGGGGTGGAGCAGGGCAAAAGGGGGCTGGTGAGGAGGAGAAAGGCCATCAGCATTTCCCAGGAACAAGGAGTGATCTGTTTCTCTAAAATTGTGTTCTTTTTGGATGAATGGGAAGGATGAACATAGTCTGGGTCCTAAGAAAGGAGTTGGACAGCAAATCTTTACAAGTGCCCACTCCATGTCAACTTCCAGGTGAGGGAGGGAATGACACTCACTTCCTCCTTACAATGAGCCTTAATTCTGGCCTCATTTTTCAGCTTACCAGTTTGAGTCCTCTCCTTGCTGTGCATAGAGGGAGAGAGGAGGATAAGCAGGTGGATGAACATTGGCTATAATATTATTTCATCAGTAACCAGGCCTTCTAGGCATGAGATGGACATGGACCCTGAGTACTGGAGCTCTCCTCACCCTGTTGATAAGGTTTAGCCTAGTGGGAGGGTATTAGGGTAGTGGGGGATTATACCACAGAGGATGGGATGATATGCAGATGCAGTACAAATATCTCCTTTCTGCATCGAATCTTCTTGACTCTGCTCTCTATTCAGCTATCCTTGGCTCTTACTGTTCCTGACATAAACCCTTGACTCCAACCAAGAAAACCTTCTCTGGGGTCTGAATGTGATTTGTATGTTCACCCCTTTTACCATGCTGTTCTGATAGAGGGTAGCTCTAGGTGGCTGCAATCTACTTATACTTGTTTAGATATTTCCAGATATGTGTCCCCTGAGTGTTCAACCAGGACTGTTTGCTTATTTCCTCTTTCCACAGCTCAAAGTGCAGGGTTTTGAATGGACTGGAGAGTTGATACAATAGACTTGACTGACTGACAGACCATCATACTCTTTTAATAGCTCCCAGAATGGGCCAGTCACAAGCTATACCTTCAAGCGCAGACACCCAGTCCAACTAGCACCTTAGATAATAGGGCAAAAAAGCACATCCAATGATTTTCTAAACATCCTCCAGACTTCAGTCAGTATGAGACCACAGAGCTAAAATGATGCCCCAAGATTTATTTTATGCTGAGAGGTATGAGTAGAGAGAAAGAAATTTCCCTATGTAGCTAAGTAGAAGCAAACTATAGAACGAAGAAAAATGGGGGAGAGAGTGCATGTGAGGGGAGGGAAGAAAGAGTAAAAAGAGTGGTAATAAATAAGAAAAGGGAGGAATACTGAGGAAGAAGTGTATAGAAGGAAGACAAAAGAGGAAGGAAGAGGAAAGAAGACAGAAACTACTGAGACATTTAGATTTCATGGCCACTGGGAGGTGGAGAGTTTGGGGTGGGAGGTAAATTTGAATTATAATGCACAGATCTTTCTCAGCCTCCAATAATCCTCTGCCCATGTGCTTGGAGACATGGGTAAGCTCTGGGATCCAGAAGCTCTAAAAGCATAGCTGGGTGGCTAGGCAAACCTGTGCTCAAACAGAGAAGCTATGGTCACACTGAAGCCAGTAGCTTCAGGTAGGGCCATGTCCTTCCAAGGCAAGGAGAGACTTTACCAGGTCACGGTGAGGATCTGTCTCCAGCCAGGAAGGGATAATCAATTCTGTAGATGCGGTGAGGCTTGATTGAAAAAATAAAGAGGAGGAAGCTATGATTGCTGCTTTCATTAAGAGGCAAAAGCAGTGGGGGGCTGGAGCTTAGCAAGAGCCAAGACACATGCAGAAAAAGAATTTTAACCCCTTGAGCCTCTTTTCCCATGATGTCTCTGCATTCACCCATTCCCTACTTTTTTTCCCCTTGGTCTGTACTCCAAGGCCACCACCCTTCTATCTCCTTCAGCTGAAAGAGGTAGAGAGGCCAAGATAGATATCAATGCAGATCTGGTGACAATTAAACAATCCATTATTTCCCAGTCCCTGGTTCCCCAGGGCTCCTGCTTCTCCTGGATTTGGGCAGGAAGAATAATTCTGGGGATAAAAGACAAACTGTGTGATGAGATAAGGCATCTAACTCAGGGTCTATCCCCTGGTAACCCCCACTCAACCCCGAGCAACCTCATCAGGGCTATATTCTCACTATAATGAGGTCAAAAAAGGGAAAGTAAGTATTGAGAAAAGATTTCAGAGAAATTATAATCCAAAACCCCTTTCTGTCATCTCTTCCTTCTACTTCAGCATCATCAGTAGAGAACTGATTCAGCAGGGAGTTCCCCAGGAGAAATGCCAGGGAGAGAGCTGCTGGTTCTGTTCTTCTTCTCACCTCACCCTATCTCTCATGGAGATCTCTCCCTGACTGCTGGTTGCATCTAACCCTGCACCATCGAGAGGTATGAGCAGAGGAAGACAGACATACAAAATGAGGGTCATGGATAGGGAGCAGGTTGGGGTCAAACATGTAGTAAGCAAAAATGATTCTTTCCTGTGGTGCTTGGGCGGGGGATGAGGATGAAGTTAGGCAAACCAGTGGGGAGAAATGGGTGCTTCAAAGACATTCAGTAAGCCAACATGCCCATGGTTTCACATCTAAGAGGAGAGAGCACCACAGGAAGAAGAAGAGGCATACATGTCCATGCCCAAGCTCTTTAAGTTTCTTGGTGGGGAGATTTGGGGAGTAGGAGAAAAGGCTGGAGGATCTGGGGAAATGAAGGAGGTACCAGTGATATTAACTTTTTAGTGCCTGGCACAACTTCCTAAGTGAAGAATTTCCACTCTCCTCCACCATTCTATTTCTTATTTTTATTCTTTTTTTGGGAAGTAGAAGGAAGACAAGGGAGGAGAAAAAAATGACACATCCTCTTTGGTTTTGCCATGAGATGCTGGATGAAATCCAGGTGATTCCTAAATCTCTGAATTCCCAGCAAGAGAGTTTGGGCTCTCTAAGCCACTTTGGGGCCTAAAGCAAAGTTATTATCCAAGAAAAATTATTTTTTCTCAACCCCTCTTCCCACACAGGGATTCAAAAGAAGTGGAAGAAAAGGATACAATGAAGGGCATCAGGAGAGGAATCACATGAAGAACCATGATTATCGGGAAGCTGCGGCTGCCCCAGGGAAAGGGAATAGAATAATTTTTTCACCCTATTTGGGAGAAAGCCATATAGCGTCTTGGATTTTTGATGAGCTATGGGCATGAGGGAAAACTGACTCTCTGCTTTTTATGCTAGAAAAAGAAAGGAAATTGTGGAACTGAAAGAAGGGCAAATAGATGATGGAAGGAGCTGAGGAATAAAACTGCATCTTCTTGGGGCTTGAATTAAATGCTTTGTGTTTGCCAAGTCAGATAGCCCTAGATATTTCCCCATTAGATCTCATCTCATGGTTCTGGTCAAATCAACCCTGTGAGCTAACATGTCCTGACCAAACTTTTTTCACTCTACATTAGGTGTGAAGATAAAAATAAGCTTGTAAGAAATATATCAAATCTTCACAAGTATCCTCAGACCTAAAGCACACCAAGGCTGATGAAGATGAGATTCTTGCCTCCCTCCTACCCACAACCAACTCCTTTAGCATCATCACTGTTGGGGTTAGGTGCTGACCAGGTGCTGATCCACCCTCCACCCCCACCGTTATTCTTCCATGCGTTTTTCTATCACCTATCTAATTAGAGAGAGGCAGTTGACATGATCACAGCTTTCCCAATACAGAGGTGAGAATATTCCAGTCCCCTTTTATTTTTACTTCCCATATTCCTAGTTCATGGACGTTGGGTATGAAGAAAGAGCCCAAGGTCCTGGAGCCCCTCATGGGGGGCTAATGAACATATTTCTCTCTAGACTCAATGTGAGATTTCAGTCATTACCAAAAAGAAAAAGAAAAGAAGGGAAACAAGGTTTTCCGTCACTAGCTATAACAGAGAGATTTAAATAGGAATTGAATTCAAATATCAACTCCATTTGTCAACTGTCTCTCTCATCATTGTTCCTGTTCCATGATTGCCAACCATCCTGCACAGAAATCCTCCTTGAGTCAAAGAGAAAGGTATAGGCACACTGAGTCCTCACACTATAACTCAGTCCTCCATTGGCTTGGTTGGTTGTTACCTTGCCCCCCTTTGGCTCTGTAGAGAGATTCATAAGAAAGGCACCCACTCAGGTCAGAGCAGAGTAACCTTCCCCAAATGAGCCACTCCTGGCTTTGACTCCCATTGCATCAATTCAAAAGCCAGCTTGTTCCTCTGGGAAATGCTTTCTCTCACCCTTCATCTAATTCTATCTCCAGACACCCCCACCCCCGACTTTTCACATCATTCCTCTTTTTCAACCTTATCCTCTGCCTCCTGAATTCCCTCAGATCTTAACACTACTCTTCCGGGACCTCAGCCCTTTTAAAATTCTTAACATGCCTGTTTACCAAACCTCTGTATTTTTCATCTCTTACTCTCCACTCAAATAATTTACTACCCAAAGTCTCTTCCAAGATTTTCCTAACTTAAATACATTATACAACTGTTCTCTTTTCTTCAGCTTAATCTTCACCCTAACTTCCTCTCAGTCTTGTTCCTGTTAAAACAGGAACAGGCTAGTTTCCAACACCCCCAATCACTTGAACCAATTTCTTTCCTCCATTGCCCCCAGTGATGGTCTGGATATTCTCTTTTGCTCCAACGACCTCCCCAAACCCTCTTAAACACTGATATCATTACCCCCTTTCGCCCAAATCTCCTTGACACACTTCAACCTCCAAACATTTTCTCACTCCTTCACTTCAAGTTGCCCCAGTCCTTCAGACTCTTAGGTGCACCCAGTTTTACCCAGTCTCCTCCTAATACTCCATTGCTTTCCTTTCACCTACCACAATATTCTGCACCCCCTCTTCCCCACTTACTCAGTTCTCCTGCTCAGTAAGCCCTTGCTGAGGGCAGCAGGGGATTTGTGCTGAAGGACGGTTCCAGCAGCAGCGCAACAACTCAGGGAACTCTCCTTCTCCTTGTTGGCGACGGCCCCTGGCACCACCGGGTGCTGGTGGGGCGACTGGGGTGCGTGCGCCCTATTGCTAGGGCCCGGAGCAGGCTGAGCCTGGAACTGTCCGTGGTGCTGCCCAGGCGTGGTCTGTGGGGAAGAGGACAGGAGCTGTCCGTGGTCCTGGGGCTGTTCCTGGGCCACCAAGGCGGTGGTGGCGGCGGTGGCCGGGATAGCTGGCAGCAGGGATGGCGACGAGGGTACGAGCCCAGGAGGAGGCTGGGCTTGCAGCAGCTGCTGGTGCTCCCACAGGCTGCGGTTTTCCGCACTTAGCTCGTCCAGCCGCCGCTCCAGCTCGTCGATACGCTGACGCTGGGTGTGGATGAGGCTCTGCTGGTTCTGCACGATGGCTGTGAGCTCCTTGAGGTAGAGTACAGCACGCACCGGATTCTCCAGTAGGCTCTCCATGCCTCCCGCGGCTGCCTACGCCCTGCCCAAGCCTCGGCGGGCGGCAGGCAGCGCGAGGGCTCGCTGGAGCAGAGCAGCCCCTGCGATGCACCGCTTCCCTCTCCGGCTGGCGCAACCTCTTCCCTGTGGTCGGCCAGCGTCACCGCCACACCTCCACACACGCACCGAGGGGCGGGGCCCCGGCGCCAGACCCACCCACCCTCTCACCTCGTGAGGAGTCTTGGCTTTCTGCAGGGCTCCAACAGGAGGGAGGGGAGAGAGGCGAGTGAGAGAGTGGATAGGGGAGAAGATAGACGAAAGAGAGCCAAGATGGATAAGATAAATCTGGAGAAAGATGGAAAGCGGAAGAAGCAGAAGTAGAGATACTGAGAAAGGGCGGTGTAGGAGAAGACAAGTGGAGAAGAAAAGAAGAGGGAGAGGCTGAGAGAATGAGGAAACAGAAAAAGGAAAGGTGGCAAAAGGAGAGAGATGTGTTTAAAAAGAGGAAGTCATGGGTACTCTGAAAGCGTCTCTGATTCTTTTCCCTATATCCAGCCACCCCAGAGGAAGGGGGTCCATCTTAAAGACCTTCTAAGTACAGGTCACACTTGCCTCTTTTGTACTCAACAACCTATCCTGCTGGGGAATTCTCTGGAAGACAAGAATCATAGGACGATAAAGGACCCTGAAGAACACCTAGCCCTACTCCTTCATTCAGCCAAAAGGAAACTTAGAATAGCAAGGTTGTTTATGCTGGGCTTTCTCTGGGAATTGAAGCTCAGGACAGTTTCGACCACTCTAATAAGGGCATACATTAAATAGAGCAGGCCCTCTGTGTCATGAGCTAATGCTTCCATAAATTTCTGAAAGGATCGTATAAAAGTTTGAAAAACAGTTATAAAGCGCATACTATTACCCAGAACCAGGGAAGGGGGTGGCAACATAAGGATGACTAGAGTGAAATCTTTGGCTTCTTTATGTTTATGGATAAGTGGGTGAAACAGGTAATAAATATTTAATTTTAATATATGGTGGTGGTTGTAAGGGATAAGATAGGGATATGCCCGGAGTGCCATAGGAGCCCAACAGCTTGGGGATCTGGGGAGGCATGTCGGAGGAAACAGTGCTTTAAGTGGGAAAGATTTTCCAGAAGAGTGGAACGGCATAAGCAAAAGCTCAGAGATATGAATGAGCATGGACTGAATCATTCACTAATTTCTACAATAAAATACCTGCTAAGTTCTAAGTAATGTACTAGGAAGTGCAGGTTACACCTAGCATAGATAATAAGTTATAGTTTCTATAATCAACAAGATTACAATCTGGTAGAGTAGATAAGGCCTGCACATAATGACTAAAATATAAATCAAAATTTCTGTTAGGAGCTCTTCAGGCCCAGTGCCATAGGAGTTCTAGGGAAGAAGAGCTGACTATGGGAACCTGGTAAGGAGGAGGTGTCATTCAAGCTGGGTCATGAAGGATGAGAATGATTTCAACAGGTAAAATGAACAGGGGACCACCACACATGTCAGACAGAAGAAAAGACAAAGGATGAAAATAGAAGACTTTGGTTTAATTTGTCAGGAAAATGACTCTTTCCTTTGGGTTTTGAGTGCTCTTAGAGTATCTACTGTAGTGCTGTTCTTTTTTCCACATAGGTGTTCCATCAGGCTCCCTGGCTGCCTGCTATTCCCCGGGGAAAGCATGTGTGTAGATACCATGTGTCCAGTGATCCAGGCCAGCCAAGCCCACCTGGCACCAGACTTGAATGATCTTATGGGAAGGGATCTATGCTCTGAAAATATATTGGTGTCATTCCCTTGTTATGTGTGTTTGTTTTTATTTTCTCGCATTTATTTTCTTAGCGACTTCCTTTTGTAAAGAATGAGTGGAAAAAAGCTTATTCACAGCTGAGCCAACAATTGAGAGAGTAGAGCACTCAAGAGGATACTTTAGTAGTGATCAGTATTTCAGCTAAAGAGGTGAGGTTGGGGGGATGGAATGAGGGCACACAAAACTCAAACACTTTTCTGCTAAATTTTCTTTACTTGCTTGGTTGATTTGTTGTCCAAGAGTTGGGTACTCATGGAGACCAATTTTATTTCTAAAGTGAAACAACCTGCAGAATTATTTCCTATGGGGCTTGTTTAAAATGCAGATTTGGGGGCTCCATATTAGCCCTGCTTTGATGGGGCCCAAGTGTTTTCATTTTTTAACTGTTTTTTTTTATTTTGTCAGAATAATCAACTTCGTTGAATCACTATTTACATGTAATAATACACACCCACTTTAAGTCTCAGTTCAATGAATTTTGACATTTACACCAATATAGTTAAAATTTCCATCACTCCAAAAAGTAACCTCATACTCCTTTGCAGGTGATTGCTCTGCACCAGTCAACTGCTGATCTGCTAACAAGATAAGTAAGTTTTGCCTGTTCTAGAAGTTTATATAAATGGCAATCACAGAGAATCTATTCTTTTGTATCTTTCTTTTTTTGTTCAGCCTAATATTTTCAAGGTTCACTTATTTTATTATAGGTATCATTAGTTTGTTACTTTTTTTTGAGTAATATTCTATAGTATGTATATACCATAAGTTATCTGTTTACCAGTTGATGGATATTTTGATTGTCCAGGCTTTGATTATTTGAATAAAACTGCTATGATTGTTAGTGGACAAGATTTTGTGTGGACATATGTTCTCATATGTTTGTTTCACGTGTTTTATGTGGACATGCATTTTTATATTTTGTCTGAAGAAAAATCTAGAGTTGGAATTCTGGAGTCATATACAAAGGATATGTTTAACTTAATAAGAAACTGTACAATTGTTTTCTAAAGTGTTTATTCTATCTTTTATTCTCACCAGCAATATATGAGAGGTTCAAGTATTTCATATCCTTGCTAACACTTGGTATTTTAAAACTTTTTTTATTTTTATGAGATCAAGTAAGTAGTAGCAATGTTAAGATGGCTTTAATAAATGATTCCCTGATGACTAATGCTGCCAAGCATCTTCTCATATGCTTATCAGCCATTTCTGTATCTTCTTTGCCCACTGTTTCTATTGAATTGATTTTCTTCTTATTGAGCTGTAAGAGTATTTTGTAGATTCTGGAAAGTAGTCTTGGTCAGATATATACATTGCAGTCAGTAGCTTGCCTTTTTATTTTCTTGACATTTTTTTAAAGATTATTTATTTATTTTTTTTAGAGAGAGAGGAAGTGAGAGAGAAAGAGAGGGAGAGAAACATTGATGTAAGAGAGAAACATTGATCAATTGTCTCTCAAATGCACCCCAACTGGGGACCAGGTCCAAAACCTAGGCATGTGCACTGACAGGGAGTTGAACCAACCACCCTTCGCTTTGCAGGATGATGAACAAAAAACTGAGCCACACTGGTCAGGGCTTTCATTGTCTTTTGAAGAGCAAAGGTTTATATTTTGATGAAAAAAAACTTAACATTTTTTTTCTTATAGTTCATGCTTTTTGTGCCACATCTGAAATTTTTTTGCCTATCCCAAAGCCAAAACCACATTCTCCTATGTTTACCTCTAGGAGTTGTATCATTTTTACTTTTATGTTTAGGTCTATGAACCATTCCAGAGTAATTTTTGTGTTTGGTATAAAAAATCAAAGTTCATTGACAGAATTAATCATTGAAGCCACATCAGCCCAGAGGTTTCTTTATGGGAAGGTTTTTAACTACAAATTCAAGTACTTTACCATATATGGTGTTATTAAAATATTCTAGTTCTCTGTGTATCCATTTTGGCCATTTGTATCACTGGTAGGCCAAATAATCTCCAAAAATGTGTATGTCTTAATCTCCAAAACCCATGAATATATTATCTTACAAGGCAAAAGTGACTTTAAATGTGTGACTAAATTAAAGATCTTGAAATGGGAAGATTATCCTGGATTATCTGCATGGATCTAATGTACGTTTTTATGGACTCAAAGGAGTCCATAAAGGTGAGTGAGTGTGTCACAAAGATTTCATCTGAGTTGTCAAAGCTGTTGGCATGAAGTTATTTTTAATGTCTATAGGCTGTGTAGTGATGTCTTCTTTTTCATTCTTGATTTTGGTAATTTGTGTATTTTTTAAATCAGACTACCTAGAAATTTATCTATCTTTATAATAATTTCAAACAACCAGTTTTTGGTCATTGATTTTTCTCCATGGTTTTTTCATTTTCTACTTCATCAATATCCTCTCTTACATTTTTTCCTTTTTCTCCTTATTTTTGTTTCAATTTTTTCTTCTTTTACTCTCTTCCTAAAATGGAAACTTACACTATTGACTTTAGACCTTTATAATTTTTAAGTACATGCACTTAAAAATCTCTAAAGTTACCACTGAGTACTAGAAATTTTGTTTTCATTTTTACTCAATGCAAAATATTTTATAATTTTCTTGTTACTTTCCAATCTTTCTATTTGAGTTCTAATTTCATTCCTTTATGGTCAGAGAACATATCCATATGAGTTAATCTTTTAAAATATATTGAAACTTTTGGAACTTTTATATGGCACAATTGATGGTCTATTTTAATGAATGCTGCATGTGCAATTGTCTGATAGCCACTCCAGCTTGCTCATTATTAACGTTTGCATGTGTAGTAGGAAGAATTATGGCTCCCAAAAGTGTCCATATCCTGTCTTGGAAACCTGTAAATATGTTACCTTACATGTCAAAAAAGACTTTACAAAGGCCCTTAAAATTAAAGACTTTGAGGTGGGGAGTTTGTCCTGGATTATCCAAGTGTGCCCACCTAAGCTACATGAATCCTTAAAGATGAAAAACCTCTCCTGGTCGTGGTCACAGGGAGATTTGACTACAAAAGAAAGGTGAAAGTAGTGGGGTGTGAAAAGGACTAGACCCTCTTTGTTTGCTCTGAAGATAGAGGAAAGGGCCATGAGGAATGTGGTGGCCTTTAGAAGATGGAAAAGGGAAGGTAGCTGACTCTCCCCCAGAGCTTTCAGAAAGGAATGAAGCACTGCTGACACATTAATTTTAGCTTAGTGAGACTCATGTTGGATTTCTAACTTACAGAACTGTAAGATAATTAATTTGAATGGCTTGAGCTACTACATTTGTGATAATTTGTTATAGTGGCCA